ATATGACTGCTCGTTGACAACACACTTGGTTACCCAGGAGCTCTGATGGAGTTGTACAACAAGATTGATGTTGCCATATCTTCTCTCACAGTGTCCATTCTGCAGCTCACGAGTCAAGGAGTAATTTTTACATTTAAGTCTTATTTTTAAAAATACATTTTGGAAGGCCCTAACTTCCATAGATAACAATTCCTCTGATGGATCTGGGCAAAGTAAATTGATAACCTTCTGGAAAGGATTCACCATTCTAGATGCCATTAAAATATTCATAACTCACAGGAAAAGGTTAAAATATCAACATTAAGAGGAGTTTAGAAGAAGTTGATTCTAACCCTCGTGGATGACTTTGAGAGCTTCAAGATTTCAGTGAAGGAAATAACTGAAGATGTGGTAGGAATAGCAAGAGAATTAGAATTAGAAGTGGAGCCTGAAGACATGACTGAATTGCAAAAATGTCATGATAAAACCAATGGATGAAGAGTTGCTTCTTACGGGTGAGCAAAGAAAGTGGTTTCTTGAGATGGAATTTTCTCTTGGTGAAGATGCTGAGAAGATTATTGAAGTGGCAACAAAGAATTTAGAATATTATGTAAATTTGGTTGATAAAGCAGTGGCATGCTTTGAGAGGACTGACTCCAATTTTGAAGAAAGTTCTACTGCGGATAAAATGCTATGAAACAATCTTACATGCTAAAAGAAATTGTTCATGAAAGGAAAAGTCAATTGATGCAGCAGACTTCATTGTCTTATTTTAAGAAATTGCCAGCACACCACCAACCTGATTGGCCAGCAGCCATCAACATCAAGGTTAGATCATCCACCAGCAAAAAGATTATGACTCACTGAAGGCTCAGATGATCATGAACACTTTTTAGCAGTATTTTTTAATCAAGGTACATACATATTTTTTTTGTAGATATAATGTATGTCTAAAAAACTACAGTATTGTGTTTTTTTTAAATAATAAACTACAGTATTATAAACAAGACTTTTATGTGCACTGAGAAACAAAAATATTCTTGTAACTGGATTTATTGTGATATTAGCTTTATTGTACTGGTATGAAACCGAACTTCAATATCTGCAAGGTATGCTTATATTTGTGGCAGTGCCACCTGCAGAGGCCTGCATGCTTTTTCTCTCTCATGCTTCAGGTCTTTGCACATGCTGGGTTTTTTGTTGTTGTTGTTCTGCATTGTTTACAGGGAAAAATTCCAGTTATTTTTTAAGAGTCACCTTCTCTAATAAATTTTCTTTAGTCTTCTCAGACTGAGGGACTTTCCTCTATGCTATGAATAACTATTTTAATCACATAGAACTTTGTTTGTTTCCTCTTCTGATCTCTAAGCTCTTTATTTTTGTATTCCTAATAAGTATCAAACTGTCTGATGTATGCTAGGATCTCAACAATATTTGTTGAATGAATGGTTGAATTAATTAGCTTAGAGATTCTCCATTTTTATACTTTTTATCTTTAAAATCCTGAAATATATTTTGTTTTCTTGCCAGGGTTAAAACTCATATGTTACTTTTCTACCCACTTGCACAGACTTGTAAGGTCTTTTTAAAATCCCATCTGTGTATTTCTTCATCAGCTAGAAGCATTTAATGTCTACTTAACTTAGAAATCTCATGTGAGCTTTTTCTTCTGGAGCATTTAAAAAAAGATATTAAATAAGTATTGATCCCCAAGGAGCTGAATTTTTCATACTTCTCCATCCAAAGACATGTCGAATTGATCCTACCATTTAATTCCTATTTTGACGTGGTTTAAAATTTTAGGATGAATAGACAATATATGAATCTTCTAACTCACGGTTATCATTAGTTAAAACAAAACAAAAACAAATATCGCCATAACCTTTTGTTAGAAGGCTGGTACTCATTAGTTCCCCTTTTGCTTTTGTGTCTATTTATTACATTAACTTTATCCTTTAGGATGTCCTTTAGAAGAAACGGTATTGTCTTCTTTATTTGTCTTATCTATACTCTGTAACCTGCCTTTCTTTCTCCCACCAGCTGCCATAATATGTCATTTTTGTTATATTCACCAAGCTTCTCCTTTCTCATGGGCTTTATCAGCTTGCTATTTGGAAGAGCAGTGCTCAGTAAAGATTCTAAAATTTCCTTGGGCAGAGATAACAAAGCTTAGGCTCAATGCCAAAAATACATTCAAGTGTTTTAAATTCCAAAGTTCCTACAGTGTTAAAGTTACCACAGTTTACCATGAAATATACATAGCCACCATCAGAGTAAAAGAAATAATATTTAACTGTAACCTTCCTTGTAATAATATTTATTCACAGACTTTCTCCTTTCAGAAACTAGCCAAACATTGACCCTGCCTTTCTAGATAAAGAAGTATACTTTATCTGTAGGTCACTTCAGAGGGAATTATGCAATAAGTTTTGGTTATACTTTAATATGCAAAGATTTTTTTTTAGCTTTTTTTTTGAATATTTATAGTTTTTATTGTTATTCCTCTGAGGAGTTGTGCATCCTTTTAAAACATTAAATTATTTATCCTCTCAGTCACTCAGATATACATAGACAGTGCTATAAAATTGTGGGGAATATGAAAATCATGGAGACCATTACAGGCCAAAGACAGTACTCCAAGTTTGATAAAATTCAAGAATAAAATAATTCTGTGCTCTTTCTATAAGTGTCTACTATTTTCCAAGTATATCCCATTTCTGATGTGCTACATACTCAATCTTATGTTTGCAGAAATGTCATTATCCCCATTTTATAGATGGAAAAACAGACATTGAAAGAGTAGAAGACCTACCCAGCTCATAGTGCTCATGACAGAGCTGAAACTAGAACTCAGACCAGAAATATAAGGGAGAAATCATAGCAAGCTAAGCAAACCACAAAGTATCTTTTCTTAGGTAATTAGTGTGCATGAACAGTGGGTTGACAGCCACTTCTGTCCTCCCTACGTCTTATAAAAAAGTTAATCTTCCCCCAAGCCTGCATAAAGTAGCAGACAGCCTTTATTTTCAGAAAGGAATGAACTAAAAATATAGTAGCACAGCCATTTATTAACCTCAGGCATCATTATTCCTCGGTAGCAGAGTCTTGTGAAAAACGCTTGGGATTTGCAAGACTTTGGTTTAGACCTCAGTTCTTTTACCAGCTTCCTAATCTTACACTAAATACCTATTTAGTTGAAATGGGACTGATAACACCAGCCTTAATGCCGCCAAAGGTGTTGTGATGATCAATAAAATACTATATCTAGAAGCAATTTATAAACTATGAGTCTACAAGTCCTCATTCTTGTATAGCAAATGAGGAAGATTTTTCCTGTGCAGGAAAGTATATAACATAGTTGTTAGGATCATTGTTTATCATCACAGTGACTTAGGTTACAAGCACAAGAAATACCATTCTCTAGCTCTGTCACTTGGTTAGGAACTTAGACTCTAAACCTCATTTTTCTCATCTTTAAAATGGGGAATAATATCTAGCATGATTTTTTTTTTTAAAAAATTAGGATTACATGAGATAGTGTACGTAGAATGAATAAGCTATTGTTAAGGTCCTTTGAAATAGTTTTCTTTAAAATTAACTTTCTATTCATATTAATACTTTTAAATTTCCAGAAAAATTAGAAGGATAGTACAGAGAATTCTCATTTACCTTTCTTCTGGTTTCTTCCATTGTTATTCTTTTAATTTGTTACAACGAACAACATTGATGCATTATTGTCACCTAAACTTCAGGCTTTATTTGGACTTCATCAGTTCTTCCTTGAATGTGGTATTTATTTGTTTACCAGGATCCAATACAGGGTACCACATTGCATTTAGGTATCATGTTTCCCCAGTCTTCTCTGACCTGTGAGAGTTTATCAGCCAGTCTTGCTGTTTTTCATGACCTTAACAATCTTGAGGAATAATGCTCAGGCCTCATGTAGAATGTTCCCCAACTTGGTTTTGTTTATTGTTTTTCTCATGATTAGACTGAGATCTTGGGCCTTTGGAGAGAACACCATAGAGAGAAAGTGCCCTTCTTGTCACAGTATACCAAGGGGTATACAATATCCATAGGATATCACTAACGATGTTTACCTTCATCACTTGGTTAAGGTAGGGCTTGCCAGAGTTTTTCACTGTATTTTGAGCTAGTTTTCACTTATATAGGACTTTCTCTTTCCTCTCTTCTCACTGTTCGGAATGCTTTTCATTTATACTTACTATAAATGTCATCTCAGTGGAAATATCTTCTCTGACCATCCAAGCTAAAGCAGCTTTCTCCTCTCAAATCGGTCTCTATGACATTTTACTTTTGTTTTCTTCATAGCATTTATCACTACCTGAAATTGTCTTGTGTATTTGTTTACCTAGTTTATTGTAGATGTCTGGGCCCCCTATCCCTCAAACAAGAACATAAACTGCAGGGTCCTTGTAGGATTGTTGACATCTGTATACTCAGTGTCTGGCACAAGGGTTAGCATATGCTAAGTGCTCAGTAACTGTTGAATAAATGTCAAAGTTACAGGAGTAATTTATTAGTGAGTATTTTTGACAAAAAGTGGAAAATAGCTGAATGGTGGGAGGCTCAATTTAGTATTCTTAACTGAATTTGTTTACTTTTAAAGAAAATGTTAAATGCAATCATCAGCATTTATGGAAATAGGTAATCAGCATCCATATAATTCAAGTTCTCTTATAATTCACTTAATCATGTGAATGCCAGGGCATTTTTCTGACTTAAAAGGATATGACTGACAAATGTAAGATCTACTCAGTATTACACACCTGCACCTTGTGATCTTTATTTGCAAATTGGCTCAGCTTTCCTATTGTAGAACTTTTGACGGAATCTGAAGGAGTGTGAAAATAATTGATGGCCTTGATTTTAACTTATACCCGATTTCTTAGTGTCTATTATCTTTTCATATATATTGACAGAAAAAAATTTATACTTCTTTGTATAAATTTTCTCCCATAACTCATATAAGACACCTCTCTTTTTATTTTTCTCCTCAGGACTTAAAATCTCCAGATCAGAGGGATGAAATTGCAGGGGCCCGGGCCTCTTTGAAGGAGAACTCCCCACTCTTGCATTCAATTTGTTCGGCTTGTTTGGAACATTCTGATGTTGCTTCCCTCAAGGCCAGCAAAGACACAGTCTGTGAAGAAATTCAGAATGCCCTCAATGTAATTTCAAATGCTTCACAAGGCATCCAGAATGCTCGAGCTCCACCGGAACCTCAGGCAGCAACCCTGGGGAGTGCTCTTGATGAGCTCGAGGTAAGTTATGAGAAGGGTAAAATGTGATTTGCTGTCCCAATATGAAAATAAACAGAAATGAGTTTTCAGATACATATGTTAGAGTTTAGAGTAGGAGTAAATAAAAGTCCATTTATGCAATCAGTCTCTATTATCATCTTATACCTTCCAGTGAATTTATTAGCAGGAAAATATTCTATCAGATTTCTGATTACTTTACATCTCTCCCAAAGAAGTCAATAAATTTAAATTGAGGATTGTTAATGAGATTGAAATGATGGCTTTATTTTATATAGATCAACTTAAGAAATATAGGATTTATTCATTCCATAAATATTTATTATTGGCACTGTTCTTTGTATTTGGTATACACTCAATCACTACCCTCATGAAGCTTACAGTTGAGTAGAGGAATATAGGCAAAAAACAAAAACAATAAACATAGATAATAAGTAAATTGTATAGAATGTTACACTGAAAAAGTGAGATGTTATCAAAGGCTTGAAGAAAGTTAGAGAATCAGGTAGATGGCGATCTAGAACAAAGGCTTAAAGGTGTGCCTTAGTATTTAAGTGTCAGCACAGAAACTAGGGTGCCTGAATGGGAAGACTGAGGGGATGAGTATTAGGAGCTGAGGTCAGAGACCCAGTGGGGTTAGGTTACGGAGGGCTGGGTAGGCTTTTAAGGACTCTGACTTTTACTTAGAATTAACTGTAATTCATTGTAAAGTTTTAAGCAGAAGTGTGACTCTGGAGAGTTGAGTCTTAAAAGGGTCACATTGACTTTGTGTGGCTCAGAGACTGAAGGGGAACAAAGGGAGAAGCTGAAAAATGGCCTCCAGGCAGCTAGTGTTTCAGCCTCTACCAGGCAGGAGGCTATTGTAGTAACATGGGTTCCATCCTTATACTTTACATGAACCACCTCATTCCACCTTACATGTTAGTTCAGATGATGTGGCATCAATAAATATTAAGGCTAAATTTTGTAAGTAGAGCCAACTGAATTTGACAGAATACATGTGGGATATGAGAGAAAGGGAGGAGCCCTGGCTGGTGTTACAGGCTGGGTCCTCTAGAAACACCCACCAGACAGAGTTTGGGACACTATGTGATTAGGAATTAACATGAGTGAAGAGAAAGAGAAAGGGAGCAGGACTAAGCAGAGGAAGAAGTCTCCCTGTAAGCCAGACCTAGAAAGCCTAGACCAATCAGTAAGGAGTTCTGGAAAGAAGGTTGTTCTCAAGTTACCTTGTCAGGCAAAAAAGCCAGGCATTTTTGCCTCTTTCAGTCACTGGAAGCAGGTTATCCTGCCCTGGGAAGAGTATGACCCTGAGGGGTCTTGAGTGGAGAGCAGCCCCTGCAGCTGAGACAGATACTGAAGAAACTGGCATCTGGGGGCCATCTGCTCCCCTCATAGCTGGCCAGCAAGTCCTACCTCGAAGAGGAAATGGGCAGTACACCTTTGTGTCTACCACAGATAATTAGAAAGTTTTGTTTTGTTTTGTTTTTGGCTTGAGCAACTGGATGGATGAAGTTTTCATCAATCATGGTGGGGACTACTGTGGGTGAAGCTGGTTTTGAGAAGAAACTCAGAAACTCAATTTTCAACATGTTGAGTGTGAGATATTTATCAGACATTCAAGTATGATGTCAAAGATCATTGGCTACCCAAGTCAGACATGTAGTTCATTAATCAGGGGCAACATAGTATAGCACATAAGGATAAGAGTTCTGAATCCCAAATGCCTACTTCCTCTCTCAGCTGTGGCTTACTGCCTGTGTGACCTTAGGAAAGTTATTTAACTTTTAGTTTTCTTATCTATAAAATGGGGATAATAATAGAATCTATATCAATCATAGTGTTGTCAGAATCAATGAATTAATGAAGCATATAAAAATGCTTAGAGCAGTGCCTGGTACTTAATAAGTGCTCAATAAATCTTAGTTCTCATTATCATCAGTGGAGATGAATATTTGGAAGCAGATTCTTACATAATGAAGAATCAATGCAATTAAAATTATTTAACTTAAAACTAAACTAAACATATAACATATAATCCTCATATTATTCTTAGTTTTATTACTTTCACAATAAAATTATTAGATACTTAATGTATTTAAATTTACAATAACCTTTCTGTGTGCTTTTCTGTTAATTACGTCTTTAAATAGGTCTCTTTTTCTAATCCAGCATTATTCAATTTCTGTGACTGACATCCATATGAAAATTTATTAAATTCCTAATTATTAGCATCTATTTGAAAAGTTTAGGAACTATTTGTCTAAGTAGGATAGAAAATTAGTGGTGATTCTTTAATAATGCTCCATCATCTAATTGTTTGTCCTGTGTAATGAGCACTCAGTAAACTTGTCCATTAGACATGTGTCTTGTCTTCATAAGAAGATTGAAAACTCCCGTGGGCAAGACTGTTTCTTACTAATTTTATACTTGTGATACTAATAGAATATTAGGTCCCCCATAATTAAAATGTAACATTTCTTGATAGCTAAACACTTACCACTTAAACACTTACTATTACAGAGTCCCTGTAAGATAAGCATTTTAATTTTCACAGAAAATAAAACCAAGACTTACATAGGTAATGTAACTTGCTCAAATGAGAAGGCTATTGAGTGATAGCAGTGAGGATGTAAACCTAGACTTTCTATTTCTAACTTCTGTGCTATACCAAATTCTCACAGATAGAACTTAATGTGCTTAATTAAAATTCAACACAAGTTATGCTAAGATTGTTAGTCTCTATGAACCATCGGAGAAATGATAAATGTAACCAAGCCTAAAAGATTTAATAATGAGTTAGTGAAAAGGCCTTTGTATCTGGGCCATTTAAGTAGAAATAGTCTGTATTTAGGAGTTGGCTAATATGGTGAGGTAAAGTTTTCTAGAGTGAACAGATAGGACTCTATATCATTTTTCACAGTAGCAAACAGAATGATGTCAAGGGATGCTTGCTTAAGTGGTCCAGTTTATCCCTGACACTGCACTGTGTATTCCCAGGACTGTAGAAGACAGAAGATTTCCAAGTTGTTCTTCTTTCTGGGACTTCTCTTTTCTCTCTTTTCTCACTTTAGTTGAAAGTGGCCATTACGGATAAGAAATGGTAGTGGTTGGAGAGGAGGAGAAAGTGTGCGTGTGTGTGTGTGTGTGTGTGTGTAGTTTTGATAAAGTGAGTCTAGGAATAGTGATGGAGTCTTCCTTTTCTCAAGATATGTGGCTGATTCACATCTTCTGAACAAGGCAGATGGGAATACTAAACATTTCTCTGAAATCCTAATACTGTCTCAACAAACTTTAAAATTCTGTTCCAGTCAAAGCTAGGGATACCCAAGATAGTATAAAATGCCTAAATTATATATATATATCTTTATATCTGAGTTACAAATAACTGCTGAGGCTGTCTGAACTAGATAAAGAAAAATTTATTGAGCATCTAGCCTTTTAAAATGATTTTGTATATTAAATGGCTGCACTTTATTTACAGGGAGCTGTATTGGTAAAGGATTCAAAATAACCTTTGCTCTATTTGGCTTCTGCAAATATAATGCTATGAAATAAATTGATGTAGTAAATACCCTGTTGGGAGTAAGTCTCATTAAATGTTTATGGGGCGGAAATGTATCAGAGCACTTACTCAACAACTACCTGCTGAAGCTTCGTTAAATCTTTCATTCTGGTCCATGGCTGGTTGTGGATATGAAACCTGAGATTTATTGGTGGAGAAAATAGAAGTTTAATTTGAATAGTTTACAGGCTAAATCAATTGATTTATTGGAAGGGCTAATATGAATTATAAGGTGTTCTTTCTGCATTTGTGACTGAATGAGAGTTGAGAAGTGTCAGATTGTAGATTAACAGAATTTTGAAAATGTCTTTAAGCAAGAAACTTTGCCAGTGAAAATTGCTTTGAAAATCCAAGCCCATCAAGACATACTTTCTCTTGTGTAGCAGCTGTTGTAATCATGGTCCACAAGAATTATCCAGATCCTCTTGTGATAAAGATTATAATAACAAAGAAGTTTTGTAGTATTTTCTCATTTTCAAAGAGCCGTCATATTTATTTTAATGTCTTCTTTTTTTGCATATTCATTTATATATCATTGTTCCTAAATTTCTTTAATCATTGTTGTATCTCCAGCATCTGGAGCAATGCTCTATGCATAGTAAGTGCTGGGTGAATATCAATGAATAAATGAAGGAAGGAAAAAAAGAATAAATATAGAAATTCTGTATGTCATTTTCTGATATTGGAGCAAAGAGCATTTTCCCCTTAATCCTATTTTTTTCTTCTTTTTTCATCTGGCAGTGTATGTACTTGGGGTATTTGGCCCTACATTACTTAGTTTTTAACTGGAACATGAATTTATGATAAGTTAAACCACCAGAAACATATCTAAGTGATATGCTGCTCAGATTTTTTCTGTGACAAGGGAGCACAAAGAGGAAAAAAAATCTCTTCTCTCCATCACTATCTAGCCTTAGTTTAAGTTCCCTGAAACTGCCTTTTACTAAGTTTAATAATTTTGAGGAATGTAATCCTCATATTCTTATGTTTTCACCTGAAAGAGAAACGAGACCTCTGCCAAACAAATTATTAGGCTTTGGTAACTAAAGAAAAATGACCATCACTGATATCTAGGAGCACCTTAACATGATTTTTTAAAAATGCTTTGGTTTCACTACTAGAAACAATAAGCAAATACAGTAAAGTTTCTGGATATAAAATTAATGTTCAAAAATCCACAGCGTTCCTATACTCTAATAATGAAGTGTCAGAAAAATAAGTAGAAACAATAATTCTTTTTGTAATTTCAACAAAAAGAATAAAATACCTAGGAATAAATCTAATCTAACATGTGAAGGACCTACATAATGAAAACTACAAGACCTTATTAAAAGAAATCGAAGAAGATACAAAGAAATGGAAAGATATTCGTGTTCTTGGAGTGGAAGAATCATCATAGTTAAAATGCCCATATTACCTAAAGCATTATACAGATTTA